TTTCAATGTGATTAATCGCTTTGCAGCCCTAGCACAAACAGCTACAATGAATCAATTCAAAACTGATTCAATTCATTTGCATCACCACTCAAAAACAAAAGTGTGTTTGGTTTTTAAACATTTTTGTTACATATATATGCAAAATCAAAGTTTCGGTATATAATATAATATCAAGAATAAACCACAAATCAAATCTGTTAATCTTTTTAGTGTTAAACATGCCTTGATTATTTTTAACTGGGGTTTAATTTGTTTGTTTTTTTTTACTTCATTTTAATTTTCTTTGAATGTACTTTGAATCATTTCAATCTACTTATAGTGTCTGTTTGGTTGAAATGAAGGAGTGGGAAAAATAATTAAGAAAATACACAAATATTAAATTATATCAGTAGATAAATATTGAATTACATCAAAAGCCTGATAAACAAAGACAACATTTCAGATATCACCCAGTCTTAATGGCTGTAATGAAATATTATCCATTCATGGAATCACACAGCAACTGGCTGAAACATGAGACTTTATGAAAGAATCATTCTTCAGATTGGTTCAAATGAGGTCGTTCATGAAAAATGTGATTCTAGTGTCGTTCAATCTAACGTTCAAATCATGTGACTGCAAAACCTTGAGCTGACCTGCGACCTTCAGCATTAGGCTTCTCACAAGAAGAATTCACACTACATTCATGATGTCACAGCATTAAAATATATACAAAACACAGCAGAGCTAAGCTTCATGACGCCAATCGCTTGACATTACTGCTACTCTATGTTTACAAGATGCTCAAGGAAGTGACATCAAAGATAAACAGGCTCTGAACACTGTCAAAATAATATACCACAATCAACACAACCTACGCAGAAAAAAACAAAAACAAACAGTCGGGCGGCTCTGACTCAGCACTGCAATGCTATAAGGTCAAGGAGAAATATTTGAAATACAAATCTCACATGGATGCCTCTTAAGAGGGTTTTGGCATGATTCCCATTAAACACTTTATCTCCATTAATTGCCAGTGTTAGCGTTTGATATTCTAGGACATGAAACCAGTAATTGAGTATAAGCCATCTTATTTCACCCTACAGCCTTCTTAAATGTCTACTGTAGACAGCATTCAATATAAGACGCCTATTGCATAAATAATCATGTATAAAAATAATAATAAGATTATGGTTAGTCATGTAATTTAATCTTGGTCTGAATTCTTTGAGCACAAGACCAGAGCAAAAATTAATACCAACAATTAGCCTATCATCTACACCTTTAAAGGCACAATATGTAATTTTCGCCGCTAGAGGGCGAGTATTCAAAATAAACAAATAGACAAAGGCATAGTAAGATGACATGACTGAGTGTGGAATCATGGGAGTTGTGGTTTTCATCCCCACAGCCGATGCAATCCGACGGGACTCGGGCAGAAATCATGTTCATGGATGAGCTAATGATTTATTAACGTAGTAGAATGAAGCAGGGTGAGGCTGAAAGTCGTCGAAGCGAAACGAGGCTGCTGAACGAGCGTGACACACGGCTCGAAAGCAGCGGAGCTTTTATTATGCCACAGTCAACTGCTTCCGCTCCTTCCGGTCGTGCGTATGTGGGGTAAAGCATCGCTGTTTTATCATACTAGATACATTTGAAAGTTCTGTTATAATGCTACTCTGTGCGGTCGTCACCGGTCTATTAAAACGCACAACATATTAAAGCGTCTTTGGTGTTTCCATGTTTTCTACAAAACAAAACCGGAAATCGAGGGGTTATGACGTCATTGGCAGGAGACACAATAACACAATAGACACGCTCCGTGTCACTAGTTAAAATTGCTTATTTCTCTTATTTAAACATTCTTCGAAACATTTGGGATAATGTAAGTACACAAGTCAGCAAAATATATAACACTGTTCTAGTGGTTTTTGGATATTTTAATAAAAAAAAAAAATCTTACATATTGTGCCTTTAAAAGGCCCAGGTCAGCAAATAAATAAATACGTTATTTCTGATCTTCACTTCAATCCAAAAGGACGTACTTTCTTCCATGAGGAACTATGAAAACCTTTTTGCATTAGATGTAACTACACAGAAAACAAATGCACAGACATTTAACTAAACTATAATTTTGTGTGTTCAACAGAAATAAGTCATACAGGTTTGGAACAACATGAGGGTGAACAAATGATGACCAGATTTCCATTTCTGGGTGAATGAATGCTTTAATCTTCATTTAAAGACGTGGACACAAAGTGAAGCCTCTCATTGTGTCTGATCTTGAAATATGTCAACGTGAAGGGCTGTAAATGTTCCAGTGACCTCAAAAGCCTGTTCTGTTTCGCTCAAGGGAACGATTCAGGCCCTCAATTCTATGCCAGACAACTGCCTGAAGGAGAATTCCAAAAGAAAGGCCCTTGCTTTATAACCCATAATACCCAATCCAATTGAAACACCACCCTGCACCCTTTACTGCCACTCAAACCTGCAGAAAATTATGGTTAAGCATCTAAATGTTATAAAAAAGCCTCTTACCTTGAAGTTGCTGGAGTTAACCCAAGAGGTGGCGATACCGTCCACCATTTTATCCAGTGCAGTCTGGTCACTCTCCAGGTCGTGACATTTGTCAGCATCTGTGATGTAGTCGATGAGCTCCGGACCCATCTGCAACCTGCGGGCCACATCCTTCTGTAGAACCTGGGTCAGACAGTACTCTATATTGGGCTCCATGGCCTATGATGTCCTGCCACCACCCGTATGGCAGTGGAGAGGAAAAACGAAATAAAAAAATAGGCCTTTAGCGTGTACAATCCAGGCAAAACAAGAGCACACGCTTATTAATATCCTGTGTTGATGAACACTATGAGTGCCACAGGCTGGCAAGAAGCTGAGAAGTAGGGATGTCGACTCGGGAATGCAAACAATGCACCATATGTGACTAGACAACAGCTGATGAGGACTGCGAATTCTCCTTTTTGTCCCTTTAGGAGGCAGCCAAACCACTAGCAGCGGCAGAAGCGCTTTTGGTTGCGGTGAAGCGGCAGGAGTTGTTGTAACTAGAGCAGGAGAGAGAGGGTCCAGCGGAGCATTGCTTCATAATTCAGAGGTCCTCCCTGCTCAGGATGAGAAAAGAGAACTGTTAGCCGAGCACCACCTCTGGATATCAAATGCCAGTGCGGCTGGACCTGCATTTTTGTCAGCTCAGATCAGCAGCCACTTACGAGAAAAGCAGAAAAGCCCTTTGATGGTGACATAACTCAAAGTCCGGCTTGCATTCTCTTAACTAGTTATTTGCTGACCACACATCAGCTGCACAGCTTTGTGGGATACAGCAAGAGAGAAATTCCACTCATATTAAAGGGGTAGTTCACCCTAAAATGAAATTAACTAATCTCTATGTCATTTTTAACCAGTTTGATGTTTAACAAAAAGGAAAAAACACCATAAAAGCACCACAACAGCAGTCCATACAGCTACTAAACTACTAGATAAAGTCCTGACTGTGTTACACAGCAGTAATGCCATCACTAGGCTACTTGCCTCCCAACTGCATTGAGACAAAAATCTGCTAAGGCATCATGGGAATAATCTGGCTGCAATCACAGTTGGTCACCCCAAAGTGTATTACTCTGATAAACAGATTACCTGATGCCCGGACTCCCAATTTTTCTGAAAGACTTCATGAAATGAGCAAAAGATACACTGTCCATTGATCAAAGCAGAACATTGAAAATGATGAATGTACTGGTCACTGAGGTAGTTAATGTGTGTGTGTGTGTGTGTGTGTGTGTGTGTGTGTGTACAGTGGAGTACAAAATGAAAGTCTGAGACTTAAAATATCAGTTTCTGGATCCCAAACTAATGTAAAATAAATACAATAATACTAATAATAAATACATTTTTAAATAGAAAGAACAGTTTCAAAGTAAAATAAATAAGAGATATTTAAGATTCTGCACACAAGATGCTCTTTATAACACTGTCAAATAAAATGGATCATTAGGTTTTGCACAAACTAGTTCATGCAGCTCATCTAAACAAATATAAACAAATTTAAACAAATCTAAATAAATCTCATTTTTAAATTCAACTTTTTCCATGCAAATTATTATGCAGATAATATGATAAAATTGAGAAAAATGCAAAATAGAAGAAAGATTCACTGGTGATCTCAGACATTTGGTCCACACTGTATTTGTGTTTTCTCTCTTCACTGTCACAAGCGGTTTTGTTTTTGCATTACAAATCTGTGCCTGTACTTCATGTATCTAAGCTACACAATGGTGGGAGGAGACCTTGCCTAGTCTCCTAATTCTCCATAGATCAGAATCACAGTAGTTCATCATTTATGAACTGTGATGTCACCTTAATGTAAAACACACACACACACTACACATGATAATTCAATGATGGCAAGCATTATTTACCTGTGCCTCCCCCAAACCACACATCACAGGCCTCCAATTACAGCTTAATTCATCTCTTTAGTGTTTAAAAAGTAACATATCAATCGATTTTAAAACTGGACAATTAGCAAAGAAACTAACCCTGCTGTACACAAGCTAAAACGATCATGCAGTAACCTAAATACTCACCAGAACTGGGTGGACATCTGATTATAATTCAAAGCAAAATCACCGTGTATATACTACAGAACTGATGTACTACATAAAGAAAAAAAAATAGCAAAACAAGTAGACTCAAACAGAATGTCATTTCAAGTGAATGACAGGTCCTATATGAGCATCATTGTAAATATATTTAACTTACATTGACGCTCACGTAGTATCTGTCATTCACCCTAAATGAGATGCTTTACTCCGGAGGCTTTAAAAGACCGTATTGTCTTTTATATACATTAGCAATTCAAATATCAAGCCCCTTATGTTGAAATCCTTATCAGTACGTAATTACCAACTGTTTTCATGTCATATCTTGATGAATTTGTTTATTTTTCATTAAACATCTAGCCGGTTATGCTAGCTCTCACTAGCCGACCGAATAAACTGTCAAAACTCCGGCGATTTACATCAAACCGGTACATGTAAACGACAAGCTTGGTTGAAATAATAGGTTATATACTCACTCTGCCGAATCTAGCGGTGGTTTCTGTGTGAAATGACACGGGTTGGGTTATTAAAGGTAAACGAGGTTTGTCTCTCTAGTGCTGCTCCTGTAGACACAATGATGGAGCTGGAATGCGCCTGCGCTAAATACCTCTGCTCTATTACTGAATTAATGTAAAATCCGCTTACAGATTTGATACAAACGTTTCATTTTATGTCATTATGACTGCTAGCCATAACGGCTAGCTTGTACCCCTTTATTATGTATGTACAATATGCGAGTCATTTCTCCATCTATAAACACATTTACCTTTGTAATTACCAATATTTGCTCTTATATTTTTAATGTTTTTCCACACACTAGCCTACAGATATGTTGTTTACACCCGCATATTAGAAATCCTCTGGTGTCCTTCTGTCTCGCTGCCACGTGGTAATTTTTCCTTGTGTAGCTAAAACAATGACCTTTATGGCAGGCTATTTTAACATTGATTCCTGAAAACTAACATCTATTATTTGATTTTAATTGCTAGCAAGTAATCCAATAGCAAACAGCATCTTTTTTTTCAACTAGCTAAGAGACACTCGTTACTAGAAATTACTCAAATATGTATTTAAATTGTATCTGGTAAACTTTTTTATTTTATCTTCTTTCCTTATAATTTTAGCTATGCAGAAATCAGTCATATGATTAGCAAATGGCAAAGCAATTGAAACTAGTGAGATTGAGACTATATAAAAAATATAATCAGAATATCAACATGGCTAATAATTATGCACGCGGTATATATATATTATATATATATATATATATATATACACCGCGATAGCTAGATAGATAGACCAGCAAGAAAAGTTCAACTGTTTGAGGGAAAAAAAAAATCTCAATTTGCCATTACTAACAGAATAGCTAGGATAGTGACTAGGGCTGGGCAAAACAATCGATTTTCCGATTAATCATTTTTTTAAATGACATCGATTCGATATCGATTCTCAAAAGACACGAATCGATCTTTTCCAGTATTTATTTCAGCACACATTTAAAATAAGATCTGATTAACATGAATCTTCTCATTAGTCTTCTCCACTAGATGTCACCCTTATTTACCTTGCGCGATGTTACAACAGAAAGCCTGTCATTCATTCAGCGCTTATCATGGCCATACGCGTGATTCATGAACACGAATGTCATCTCCAGCTGCTCTGAGACTCACTTCATTAGCATTTTACGGTTTCATTTGAGAAAACTACCGTCATATCACATACACAGCAGCTGGAAGTTCTTCACGGCAACCCGTCAAAATAAAAGTTTAGTTTAACATTAAACTGTCAGAATATATTCCTATTTAGCAGTCTGAAGACTCAATGCTACTACTGCTAATAAATAGTAATAAATCTTTATTTTTAAAGGAATAATCACATTTTACTTTTAATTTTAACAGTAAATCTCTGTTGTGCAGCACTTTGTTTGCCAAAAAATAAAAGGGTTTTAATTTTCATTTGATTAGGATAAATTAAATTAATGTTTTATGCCTTCATCTGATTACCAGAAAAATTAAGAACATTTTATAGAGCCCTAGTATTGTTTAAAAAAGGACCCTATACAAAAAAAAGAATAGGTTTAAAATACAGGCATGTGGTTCTTAATTTCTTTTTATTCATTCACCATTTGTAAACTGATGTTTACTGTTAATTTTTTTAGAAATATCAATAGCATTTTTTATTAAAACTATATTCAACTGAATGTAATAAAAAAAAAAATCGAGAATCAAATCGAATTGAGAGCTTGCGAATCGAAATCGAATCGATTCGGGACATCTGAATAGATACCCAGCCCTAATAGTGACTAGTAGCAAAATAATACAAAAGTATTTCAGACTATTTAAGTAAATGCAAATATTTAAACAAGTGAGAAAATAATTAATGAAACTGAATAATATATTATATTGGTTCACTTCAGGCAATTAAAATATGCGCTAGTAAAACGGATATTAATACATTTTAAGGAACTTAATGTTAAAGTGGCTTGCCATATTAAATTCACGGCGATTTAAAACGACTCCGAGCTCCATCTAGTGGTTATCCTGATAAATGCATTTCCGTTGATCTCCATTTCTTCCATAACACCCCTCAACTTACATGTAAGTCGTCATAGTGACAACTTACACAAAAAATTGCATACTCAAAATAGCTTTAAAAAGCAATAAAGAAATTTATTTGATCCCCTTTTGTGGGATAAGCACATGTTTTACCAATATGTCTGAAGTTAGCACTGGACAGAATACATAACACCAAAATAATGTATCAGAAATACAATGACATCCATCCTACCATTTAATTTTCAAATGAACACAATATATATTTTGTGTATTACACAGTCAATCGGATTTTATCAACCTCTGGGAGACCACATTGTACCCCACAAAGGTAATTGGTACATCTGCATAAAACACACATCAAAACAGATGCCTGATAATCAGGATAATGTTTGTGATCCTCTTCTCCAGCCACAGGGGAGGACTGATCTAATCACATACAAATGGCTCAAACAGTGAGTCCAGTGTCCCATCTAAAACAGGGCTTGAAGTCTATTTATTAGTCATTAAATTCTTCTTTTAAGTTGTATGCTCTTCTTCAGCCTCCTCTTCTTCACCAGACTCTTCCTCACTATCTTTCACATCATCGCTGTTTTCTGGAACGGATTTGGCTTTGATGACTATTTCGTCATCAACATCATCGTCCTCAACTCTGATCGACTTCCTCCTCTCCAAAACTGATGGTGTGCACACTGGTGTGACATCCTAAATGCAAATAAATTGTCTTTTAAACACTAGTAGCATAAGATTACATATCCTAGTCCTTTTCTATGGTAAATGTTGGCACATGGGTTTCATTGTCAGTCACAGTAACTGACAATAAGCTTAAAATGTACCAGTTTCTGTCGGCACAGTAATCTTACTTCAGTCAATGGTTACAATTGAGGTCATTTTCAGTGTGCCCAGCATATGCCCACAAAATCAGTGGAAAAAATGCATAAAAAATTAACTGAAATACTTAATCTTTAGGGGTGTAACGATACACGCATTCGTATTGATCCGTTCGGTACAAGGCTTTTGGTTCGGTGCGCATTACAAACCAAACGATTTGATTTGTTGGACTAATCCCATTACATTTGGAAAATAAAATGGCTTAAAGTGTGTGAAATATAATGTTCTCAGTGCCACTGCGCTCAACAAGGCAGCCGAAATGACGTAACAGGCAACGTGCTGTCTGCCCCACGATAACCTCCCCTAGCTGATGATCTTGTATCGACGATAGCCAGAGATATTGTCAAAAACATCAATCGTTGGCAATATTAAGATATTTGGCTTTTCCAATTAATGTAGGCCTGTTACATACTTATTTTTATTAGGCCTATTATTATTATTAAGAAGTTACTTTTATTAGGCCTATTAAATTAAAATTACAATTAATTTGCCCCGCAATAATTACCAAAAAACTGACGTGCTGCGAGGATAACAAAAGATTAGGCTATATATTTACTCCTCAATTAAAATGTTTTAAAAAAAGGTATTTTAAAACAGGTCTATTATACAATGATTTATAGGCCTACAATTAAAATATTAACACTGCAGTCATCAATAAAAATCAATGAAATAAAGATTTATTTCAAGCACCGACTTTCAAAAACAACCGGTTTAACACGAAATAGGTTTCTTATTTTTTTTCACTATGTAATATTAGATTAAGGGAATAAATAAAAACAGCTATATACCGTTATCAGTATATGTTGAAGTAGATTCGTCTCTCGTCGTCTCTGAGAGAATATGCGGCGTCAGATGACGAAAGCTCAGTCATTACTCCGTCATTTTGTTTTTACTTTCACTTTCTGCATAGTGAATTGACTGAGATTAAGATGTTCACCGGCATAACCCCTGCGCAAAGTTTGCACGTTGCTTGTGTGTGATATCCATTGGCTTGCCTTCATGGTTTAAAACAGAAATATTTCCAACATTGCGACGTAACCAATTACCCCCGTACCGAACGTACTGAACCGAACCGTGACACCACTGTGTCGTATCAAACCGAAGCGTGAATTTCGTGAACCGTTACACCCCTATTAATCTTACCTCACTGCATACTGAAACATCGGCTTCAGACTGGGCTTTCTTGGAAGGAATCTGAGCTGCCTGAAAAAAGAAGAAAAAAAAAAGACAACATGGTCAAACTAAAATACAACAAAAAGCATTTTAAATGAATAGTTCACCCAAGAATAGATATTAGCTGAATATTTACATAGGACTTTGTTTCTTCTTTGGAACAGATTCAGAGAAGTTTAGCATTACAGCACTTGTTCACCCTGGTTTCACTGGAGGAAGTGTTACTATGGACTCTTATTATGGTTATTAGTTTGACCAGAAGTGATGGTCAAAATATGAGATAAAACGCCTTAAAGAGGATTCACAAACATGCAGCTTTTCAATTCACTGAGATTAAGTGATGGACTGGAGCCATATGAATTATTGTTTTTATCAACTGTTTGGACTCATTCTGACGGTAGCCATTCTCTGCAGAGGATCCATTGGTGAGCAAGTGATGTAAAGCTAAATTTCTTCAAATCTGTTCCGATGAAGAAACAAACCCATCTACATCTTGGATAGCCTAAGGGCGAGTACATTTTTTTCAAATTTTCATTTTTGGATAATCTATTCCTTTAAATGATCTGATTAAAAATAACAACATAGTACTTACAAATCCTGGGAAATCATAGTCAATGCCTTTTGCCGCCAGTCTCTTGCGTAGCTTAGACTCTCTGCTTAAAAGCTTTGCACCAAGTTTCTTCAGATCTTCTTCCGCATGCTGTTTGTTATGACGAGAAACTGCAGGCTGCGTTGGCTTCTTGAAGACCAACCTGGAACCTACAAATAGCTTTTCATGGACCTTCTCAGGTGGCATCACATGACCTATACAGGACAAAACACAGTAATGTTTAGACAACATATTATGTAAGAAAATATACATGCAAAATCTTTTACACTCAACTCACACTTTATGAGCCGTTCTCCAATAAGATAGTTGTTCATGGTCTCAGCCACAATCTTAGCCACCTCATCACACTCAAACTCCACAAATCCATAGCCTTTGCTCCTTCCAGTCTGTGAAAGATGAG